ACCGAACCTTATATCCGCGTGTCATATAAGCCATAAGCGGCGTCCACTGTATATGTATATAATGCATTTTTTTTTTTGCCGTACAACCGTACACACCGGTGTCGTGCAACGATTGCGTGTCGGAACGCGCAGGTACATAATATTTCACGGATAACTGTTCGAAACACGGCACAGAGAAGAACCATAATAAATTACTAAATTGCAGAAAAAAAAAAAAACACAATGCGCGATTGACGACGTAACTCGACTCACCACTATTATACTGCAGTGCCCACCCATCAAGCGCCCCCGGGGACGGTGTATGTGCGTGCTCGTCCTGCACCGGTGGTGGCACTACGACTATAATACTACACATCTGCCACGGATTGATTGATACGACGACTTTGCGACGATTGAACGAAATTAAAAAACCGTCGACGACTCGACCGAGGGTTTCGCGGGCAGTGCGTATAAATGTTCGTTCACATTGATATTGCGTCGTCGGAGCGAAATGTTTTTGAAATATTGGAGTTATAAAAACAAATCGAAATTTTACCGTTCGATAAGTCGCTCGCGATAATATGAAAACAGGTTATCGCGGTAAACGACACGAGTTTATGCGGAACCAAGAGTATTGAATATTTTTATGTCGAAATGCTCATAATTAAATTACCTTTGACGGGCACCTACTGCTTGCTCGTAATCACACAAAATATAAACATTATTTCACTAACCGGCCTCTTGTTGCAGTGAGTTTGATCCCGAAACGTTTTACATTTATCATATATATATTTTTCGATTCTTCACATTATTTATACTGTCTCCACTGCTCTTTGTCTATATACCTAGTTTACTACGCTTACAATGTGACTCAAAATTTGTTTGCACACGCCCACTATATTAATTTGTAAACGTCATAATTGTCCTTTATTCATAATTATTATGTATTCGTATGATGAACTGTGATAAAAATTGAAAATTCGACATTCATAAGACGGTGTGTTTTTAAGTTTCGAGTTTCTAATTTTGTTGGAATTCAAACCAACAAGAAACCTGCATTACGAGGAGACTTTCCCGATCACTCGACACTTAACATCCGCTTAGCTTGTTTTTTCCCCTCGCGAAAAGGTCTCGCACAGCGTCAATGCGGATAAGAAGTTAAACGTATATCCACACGAAATCGGCGACTTTGTCGAAATAATATATGAAAAGAAAAAATACGGTCCATCGAAATTCCATTAATAAAGTTTACTCCGCTCCGATTAAAATTTAATAATTCAAGGAACGAGAAGGGAAAACATTTTCGCTTTAACGATCAAATGTTTCGGGTTTACTCGGTCCACTACACATCGAAACACACGCGTGCGGTATGACGTGCAAAACACGCGAGTCGTAGACATTTCACGAGCAACTGTGCTGGACCGGTGGTAGCTTATTAATTTTTGTAACTTGTACCCAATAATAGATTACCCACGTGAAGGGTGCTCGACAATTATTTATGTACCACCGGGCCAGGATCGAAGCACGTGTCTGAGGTCACAGGACCTCGGCATTCTCTTACAGTGCCCAATGCGTATAGGTACAAAAACCAATTTAAACAGATTTTCGTTAAGAATCTGCAACGAGTGCCATGTATAGTTGAGACAGCGACCAATTATAATTACAATGGAAAATAATGTATTTCATATTATAAATTCAGTGGCGCCGAAGTGCTGAAAATATCCCGATGACATCGTACATCAACCTACACCCTCTATAATTCCCCCCCTTTTTTTAAAATTTAACAATTAGATGCAGATCAAAGCACCCACATACCTAATGCAATATTTAATGACTGATATGATTGTAATAAAAACTGATATAATTATAATACTACCTATGTACAATAATACACAATTATGTTTAACACTAGCGGCGTCGTGTGATAAGTTAATGTCTCTACAATATAGCGAAATATCATTTTTTTTTTTTTTTTTATAGTCACCGGATGACTTATAATTCTACGCAGGGCCGGGGGCAATGGGGGTATGGTGGGTCGTCACATCCCCCCCCCCTGTTGAATTTTTTTGTAATTATCAGTCGGCAATTTCAGAGAGCCGTTGTCCGTTGGAATTTATACTTTTTGAAAAAAAAAAAATATATATAATATAGGAACGGGTCTCGGCAGTCGGCAGTTGAGAATTTACCGATTTAGAAAACTAAATACTGCCGACTGATATTGTTGGCCGAGGAGTAAAGACCCGTATTATAATACTTTAATATAATATATTTGTTTTTGTACGTTGTACAACGTCAAGTCCGTCGGCATATCATTGCCATCGCTAATCGGCATTCGGCAATCCCTATCTCAAGTACCCGTATATAATCTATTAAATAGATTTAATATGAGAATTTCATTAAATTTTGCGACCCGGTATTAAATTTTTTATGGCCCGGTAGTGGGTCGCGACCCGGTATTTGGGAAACGCTGATCTATTTTGTTAAATAATATGATGTACTGCCATCTGCCGTCTGCTGAATTAAAAAAAATTTTTATTATTTACTTAATTTTTTGTGTTATTGACAAACGCTGATTGATTTATATTCGTACACGACTTATTTTTTAGATCTTAAAATAGTTCCGACAGCCTTGTATCTTTACATCTGTATGAAATACAAGTAACAAATATTTTAACTATGCATAAAATGGTTTAAAATGTTTTAGTTCTATATTTTGTTTTTGTTTTAACTATTTTACTTCATCTTAACACAGAATAACCAGACATTTTTATACTTCACGTATTTTTTTTTTTAGAAATTTTGAGTCGGCAATTCTGGATCTCCCCCCCGACAAAATTGTGTAACGCCGGCCCTGATTCTACGGCATAGTTGTTGCACTATTCACACCGTGGTCATTATACCTAATTTATTAAAATACTATTTATTTATTTTTTTTATATTGAACAAAACGCTTCAGTGGCAATGGTTATTAGCGTCCAATCACATTTTTCTTTTTTTTTTGAAACAATATTTGTTAGATATTTTGCTAAATGAAATTATGTTATATAATTTTGACATTTTCAAAAAATTCAAAACCTTGGTGTTTGCTTCTTCGCCGGGTATCAGTATTTCGATTAAATACATTATGCTGTATAGGTACCTACAAACTGTCGATGACAATAGTAAAAACAAAATTTATTACGTTTAAATATTTTAATAACGTCGTATTGTTCGGACCGTTGAACACCTGCACCGTGTAATATTTTACTTAAAAAAAAAAAAAAAAAACACTTAGGATTAAACGCTCGTATTTGGTACCTAGCTAGGTAGTAGGTATACTAAGTGAGCCTAAAATATAGATTTTTAATTTTTTTTAGTTAAAAAAAGACCAATGCAAAGTTAGGTTAGCAAACGGGACTCCTTCAATATTTCAACAAATCAGGATGTGTCGTACGCCTTAACGAATCCTGGCAGTACGCCGTTTTCTAGCGTCACGTGTTTCCTTTCGTGATCACGGCGGCGGTCCTGTTTTTCCGTAACTACCTCTCAGACAAACGTAAAAAATTATTTCTATCGATTTTTCGTTTGCCGAGTGTAGAAATACGACGATTGCACTCAATCGCCATAAACACGTCGTTGTGGCACACAGAATCGGAAGTCAAAGAATCTTATTTCGTTTTATTTTTGTCGTATTTCAAACACCATCACAATCGACGACGACGTTCGTCTAGTGAGATTGCTCGAATCACACTTGAGCCGTTATGATTCGTTACCGCGATGTTTAAAACCGCATTACGACTCGAACCTTGATATTTTTCACTCCACTGCGACCTCTCGTAATACACGTTAAAAGTCGGGCCAGACATATCGGATCTCATTGCGACCCGTCCGGACCACGTGTCGCCGTTGCCGCCGCAGTGTTTTCTAAGGGAGGAAACGCGTGTTAGCTATTCGCAGAGGAGACGCGTGAACGTCTGTGAGACTGTGAAGATTTCTACAAGTCACTACTACGGTTGTTTATACATATATTATATATTATTTTACATTACTATTTAGACGTTTGTTTGACAACGTCCGACCCCCCGAGCCCCGCGTCTCGTCGTTGATTTGGGTCTTTGTGTATTCCTTGTTTTCGTACGTGTAAACAAAAACACATTTTACGACGAACGTTCTCACACGCGTCTCGGCAAAAAGGTAAATAAATAAATAATAATAGTAATAAAAAAAAAACAATCCGCCTTGGCAGTCGGAAACAAAAATCTTTCTGGTCTTTTTTTTTTTTAATCGACTCTTCAAAGTGCTTGACTCATACAGGTGTAATAAAATACATAATTATGTTACTTTCCGAAACAATATTAAGTTATAGGTACACGTCCGGCTTTATAAAACGGGGGAAAAAAAAAAAAAAAATAAAACTTATACATATTACACAAATAATACAATTATTAAGATCGTCTCTAAACTATTTTAAGTGGTACAATACGTTACGCGTAGTCGATTAACTTTTGTTGAATACAACATAATAATATATTTAAATGCAAAACGTCAACAGCGTCATTGAATACAAAAAATATATATAAATATTGAATAATGTAAAACTGTTAACCCTTTAACCGACCGTTGACTATGGTAGTGGAGAAAACGCAGTAGTAATAATATTATGCAGTAGTATAGCGTATGATATATAATAATAATAATAATAATAATAATTAGTACATCATATTACGAACAGGATAATATAATATATTCTTGTAGTTTTAAGTCAGTTGAGCCGATCAACTAGTTAAACATTATAGGGAAGAAAACGAAAAACAAACAGTACTACACATGACTTATTATATCGTTTCCGACTGACAACGTTTCGTAAATGTTAGTTTTAAAATGACTCGTAACAATATAATTAATTATATTATTGATATTGTGATATCAATTTTTTTTTTTTTTTTACAATTTTTATCCACATAATAGTAATAATAATCATAATAATAATAATAATAATAATAATAGCGCGTTAAAAAAAAAAAAAAAAAAAAAAAATAAAATTATATTTACGAAATTTGATTTAATTATAATTGCCTAATAGTATACAACACTGCAACGAAAATTCATAATAATAAAATAATAACCGATAATAGTTTTTGAAATGAAAACAAATAATATGTTTATTGTTCGTTGTATATGCGTATAAATCCTATACGGACAAGGATACGAAGCTGTTGTATTGTGTGATGTTTCTCTTTAATATGTCAGCACATGGGCCCAACACTCTTTCAAACCTGAAATAAAAAAATAAAAAAATATGTATTTCAAGGCAGTATGAGAGTACGGAAAAATACGTGTAAACAGTTAAAAAAACAACATTAGAATATGTTACAACATTAATAACTGTGCGCATTTTGTGACAACTCCTGCACGTCCGCCACAATATAGATCATAATATTAATAACGATGGCGATAAAGTACAATAAATAATACTACGTCCTCTTATGATAATTGGGGCCGCATTTCTCTGCCTTTTCGTCGTCTAATTTTCGTCGTTTCTCACGACAGTAAACTATACATTTAACATAATATAACCTTTGTCATTTTAAAACGAAATTGTTCGTCTGCATGAGACTGTATTTTTGCATACTATAACGTCAATGCCTATTATTCCGTTTCTCTTTCATTTTCCGCTTTTGTTGTTTTTTATATCACTCAATTAGTATTTCGTTTTTCGTTGTTCACAATGCGGAGGAATAAAGGAGAAAAATGTTTTATTTTTTTATTTTATCATTTAGTTAATATACCGAAATTAAACGTATACCTAGGTGTTAAACATATATTGTTTTTCATTGTAAAACTATCGGAATGTGAATAAAATAGCGAGTATTTTTCATAAAAAGACAAGTCAGTAAAACTGACGTGTTCCATAATGTTAATACGGAAAAAATAAAGTGTGGTTATTTTTTTCAGGAGAAGTATCAATCGCGATCGAACGATTAGGGGGTAAAATTTTTTTTTGTTGACCGTCATCATCACGAGTGAAATTCAATACACTGATGTTTGTCATATAATATTATATCTCAGAGACTCGCCTGGCCTGTCTTTTCGAGTACGATGTCTATTTGCTTAGGGTCACCGTTATATTTTCACGACATATTATCTAGCACTTAGGCGATTTTAATGGGTAGGATTTATATCAAATAACAACATGGTGTGAAGATTGAAAATTGTATACACAGTCGAGTGGCGATAACTGGAAAACTTTTACAACTCGAAACATATTTTTAAGTAGTATTTATTTGCGTTCCCCTCGAAATTCGAATTATCAAGACTCAACTGTATAACACTCAACGTCTGTGATTCACCAACTGGTTGAAAAAAAAAAAAACAATACAAACAATATATAATTATTGGAAAAATTGAAATATACCTATAATGAATGATTCCCGCCAAGAATAAAATATAGATTAAACAAACACTTTATTTGTATGCATTATACACCAGTAACCGAGTGTACTCGGTAACCGGATTAATTAATAATCTTACCAGGCCGTAATACTATCATAATATTTTTTACGTTTGTTTGGTTATTTTTCAACCATTTCTGTAACGTGGTATTATGATGAAGTTTCCGCATACCTTTCATAAAATAAAAAAAAAAAATCATTTCGTACGCAGAATGTTTTAACTCCCGTTTAGTGGGTAGATACATGTTTCAGCACGGCATTCTCTAATTTGAATATTATAAATCGTTTTGCATATTATAGTTTCAGTAAAATAGATTCCGAAACATTTTTTTGAAGAACGTCAACATTTTGCTGCGTTGCTTTCTGAGTCCTCGGTACATATCGTATAATTTTCTACTCGGAAGACTACTTTTGATTAATGAATTCGCTTCCGTATTTTTGCGAGTGTCAGGTCGTTTGAAGATTTTACTTGTCTGTGCTCGGCTCGGTGGCGATATAGGTAAAGCAAACGGCGTAGGTAACAATAACGAGAAAAAACAATAAATATTCCGTGTGCACGGATAAGATTAATTCCTTAATTTAATAAATTACTATTTAATGCGCAAAAGTAACTGGCAGTGATGTGTATTAGATTATTTAGGTCATGTTGTGCAGTAGGTACCTATGAAACACACACGTACGCACAAAATGTAAGGTCGCAGATGTTTAAACACTTTATCCACACGAAAAACCAGTAGCGGATTTAATCATCATACTTTACCCCTATGCTAAATGTATTTTTAACCTATGAGCATTTAACATTTGTAATTTTCAAAATGTGGGTACTTAATTGTTATTTGAAAGAGCGTAATATATATTATGCAAATTAGTTTAAAGCAAAAATAGTTAAGTAAAATCAAAGACGTTCAATTAAAAAACATTTATAATGGTACCCAAAGAAAATAAATATTTGCAGTAGGTAGGTACTTCAAAGTTCATCCAATGCAATCCAGAATCGAGAGACATTTTCAAAAATTAAAAACCAATTTTTTAAACACTTTTTAATCCTTAAAGGTGTTTAGATTAGTCAAAATGTAAATATTAAAGAAGTATTATTATAATATACTAGTGTATTTACAAAGTATGCATCGTCCATATCGTGATTTCAATCAGAAATGGGTTTTAAATTTAAAATTGAACAAGGTAAAAATCATAAGAGAAAATGGTAGGTATTTAAAGGGTACAAATTATGGAAAAGGAAAACTCTAGATTTTTGAAATTTTTATAAAAGCAATTAAAAAATAAATGTTTCAAAAGTATCAAAAATCAATTTTACGACGTTAACTAGAAATTTATATTGTGTTTACACATGAAAAATTTTTGCTACAAGGTAACTTTACTATACTAATAGATATAATAAATATAAGAGCGCAATGAAAACACTTTTTACAATTTATGTAAATACAAATCATCTCAATATTATTCATAGTATTCAGTGGTTGACTGCGTCCGTGTGCAGGTACTATTTCACAACACAATTTGTATGAGTGAAAATTTTGCGAATATCTATACACGTTACTGATTGGTTACACGCTGATGTGTATATAGTATAAATATATAACTACCTAAAAAATAATGTGGAAGTTATGGCGCATACAAATGTTATCATTATTATAATGATTTTACATTAAAACATCAAAGATAAATACAAAAATAACAAAAACCAGTAGAAAATGTATTAATTGACAGCATATGCGACTAAAAATGATTTACTAAAAAAGTTTGCCATACTTTAAGTGCAAACAAAACTTTTACTTCGAAGTTAAAAAGTCGTCCGAGTATGACGAATAAATATGAAATTAAACTCGAGGTTTGAAACTCGTTTAAAGTAAAATTTAAAATTATAAAAGTGGTAATGCAATATATAGTACATCAGTATAATAGTTATAAATCCGCGTTGCATCACGAAAAACTTACTACACCAGCCCATTGTTGGCGTCATATTCATTTATAATGCTATGTGATATCCCGGGAAAAGGGTATCACGAGATCCTACCACAGATCACATTTACATTTTTATCCTCTTTATTCGTTTTCGACAATTTTTCAACGCCCGAGAATAATCGAACAGCCTCGCGGGGTCGTCCCGGGACAACATCCCTCTATATTATATTAATTTGACCCCCGGTGCGTACTTTTTGTCCAACGAGGGCTAAGTCGCACACGGTTTTGATTACTGCATTAAATGTATTTAATTGCGTCATGTACGGGTTAACGTACGATCCGCGGGGATATTACAATAGTTTACTACAACTACAGTAATTTGGTGAATTGGTATTTGTGTCCGGAATGTGACTATACGGGAGACAACAGTAAGTAAAAATTTATCGACAAGTCAATTTTTATTGTTTCGGGGCATTATAGAAGTCACTGGCTTAAAAATAATTTCAAACACAGTAGGGTGGATCGTATACTTAAGTGGCGACGACCGCGTATCTCATGCAGAATTACATTCATTGCTCGAATCGAAAATGCACACAGTTTTATATTGTCCTAGTTTCTCCGAGTAGTATGTTATAAACATGGTATATACGTATATTGGGAAATACCTCTGCTGTCTAATATAAAGTTTATAATTACAATGGAAAAACCAAATCTATACTACTTTTACTTATATAAATAAGCAACGGGTCAACTTCCAAACAAAAATAATACATTTTAAGGGCGTGGAATATTAATTGTTTTGTATACGGTTAAAATCCTTGAACTGAACTTAAAAGAAATGATCACAATGGAAGAAAACGCGTATATCATTCCGAGAAACAAGATTATGTTCTATTTTGTAGTAAAAAGCTTTTAGGAAAATATAATTCGAAGAAAAGTGTACATATTATGGTTTTTGTAAATTGTATTAATTTATCTTCTCGGCAGAAGTTCATAAGGTAGACGAACTCAACGAATACTACAACCGTGCTTGATGCACGGGAAATGCAATTATTTATTGGGACGACATGTTGGAAATCTACAAAAGCATAATATAATACGAGAAAATTAAAACATTACGAACGTACGAAAAACAAAAATAATAATATTAACTTGTTTGCAAAAGGCTAACTGACCCAAATATTTGATTTCCTAGTGTTGAGTAAAACTAAAAAGTAAAAGTAAATATATTTTTCTTACTTCATTTTAAAAGACGCAGTTCATTTCAAAACGACGCAGAGAGGGTTGAGCACTTTTTTTTTGAAATTGTTTTACTCGAAATTACGTTATGTTTGAAAAAAAGTTTTTTATCTTCAAGTATAGTTAAGACTGAAAACCGTTTCGAAATCGGTCATTAAAACGATTAATGTGTGTGTGATGTATAGGAGCAGCGTGCAAAATAATTTCCTTCAGAATATATAGAGCGATAACCGTCCCGGGCACATCGCGAGTATTTAAATTGCGTAGAATATAACGTCGGTAGGCGGTACACTATTCGAGAAACATTCGGAGTCCCATTGTAATTATTATGGTCTATATATTTTATGTACCTCAGACGCGCACAACGGAGCCTGAAAGCCACTTAAAATATATCGTATCTCCCGGAAATCGATGACTTTTAAGCTTTTAGAGAGAGGTCTGCGCATATATATATATATATATACGAGTATATATATGCGAACGGGGGCGTTTAACAGCCGCCAGACGTCCGGCATATACATACGGAAACAATGGATTTCGCTGGACCGGCCGATAGAAGGATACAATATTTAAACATAATATTATATAGTATTATCGTATTGTACGTTACCTGGCCCGATCGAGTTTCACACACTTCAGCGGCCCATTGGCGACGACGGTCGCTGCTCGCGGACGGTCGAGTAACAGTGCGATTTCACCTGTAACACAAATGTTCGGAATAATATAATATATAGTTGCAATCGATGACAAGTCATCAATAATTGAAGCCGGCCCGGCGACTGCGGTACACACGAGGTCATTGCGATCGCGACCGCACGAATAATAATGTATCGCACATGTCTTGCCCCCGCTCAGTGGCGTAGCCAGGATTTTTTTTCGGTCGGGCTGATCAATTTTTTACACAGCGGTGGTTTAGTTTTTGATCGAATACCATAGACCGTTAAAAATTTTTTTTAATTTTATTAACATTTCGGGGGGGGGGGCTGCAGCCCCCTCAGCCTCCCCCGTGGCTACGCCACTGCCCCCACTATATGTGTGCGGTGAGTTTATTTTTGGAGAGGTAACACTAAATAATTTTGTCCGGTGACATCTGCAGATTGATGTTCGGTTTTCGGGAGGAGATAGGGCGAATATACACAAATACACATTTTTCGATGATTTTTACATTCTTAGATCTTTCCGTGTGCTCCTGCAGCGCAATACAACTTGCATTTTTTCCAATCGGCAACAGGTGTTTTGAATACGAAATCCAGATGGACCGAATTTTTTTAAGTCGATTTGGTTATTTTTACCATCGTAGCCCTAAAATCAAAATCGACCAAATGACAACGAATTAGAGTCTCGATTAAAATTATTGATAGCTTACGGATACAAAAAAAAAAATACTTGCAATTTCATAATAATTCATACAATTCTAATAATATGACTGTCGACAAATTCAATAATTTTAATCGAAACTCTAAGTCGTTGTCATTTAGTCAATTTTTATTTTAGAGCTATGGTAAAAAGGACCAGATCGACTTCAAAAAAATTCGGCCTATCTGAATTTCGTATTCAAAACACCTGTTGCCGTTTGGAAAAAACGCAAGTTGTATTGCGCGCGAGCACACGGAGAGATCTAAGAATGTAAAAATCGCCAAGAAATGTGTATTTATGTATTCTCCATCTCCTCCCGAAAACCGCATACCAATCTGACAGAATTATTTAGTGTTACCTTTAAAAATAAACACACTGCGGTATACGGTGTGCTCCAACGCCGGTTCGACGGCGCTATGCTCCTATCACGGGACGCGACGCGGACATTTGGACAAAATCGACGAGAGTCTCCGAGGCGGACAATAATACATCGCACGACAGTCGGTCGGTCGGGAAGAAAACAAATCGATCGCATTAGACACGTCGCGCATACCGACGGCGGTTGTTGGATCCCCGCCGCCATGTATACGTAGATATATATAGGGGACGCGGTTAGCGATAATATTCGTAACGAGCGCGATTTTTCACCGCCGTCGGGCCCGCGTTTCAGTTGCAGACACGGCACGCGGTTTTCCGGACGATTTCGTCTCGTCCCACCGAAATCGCGGAAAACTTCTGCAGGCGGGCGGCGATCGGCGACGCGTGGACTCCGTCATCGCTATATATAGGTGAGTACGCGGTATACCTATATATTATACACACTGCTGCACATAGATCCGGCGTGGGGGAGGGGGGGGGGCGACGAGAATTTCAAATTGAATTCACGTCGACTTCTTTTGCGGGGCGCGACATGTACGTCCGGACAAAATCGATGCGACTACGCGAGTTTCCGACGCGGGACAATATATATATATAACAAACGACAGTCGGTCGGCAAGCAGACAAATCGATCGCATTGGACGCGTCTTGTGTACCGGCGACGACTGTTGCAGGTGCCCCGCCGGCGGCGCATTGTTATATACGGCCGGCGATAATATTCGTAAAGGTTAGGTAATTTTTCTTCGCATCCGGGTCCGAGTTTCGATTGGCGGTCGGCACACGGTTTTCCGGACGATTCCGTGGTTTCCCCAAAACTGTGGATCATTTTGGACGAGCGGCGATCACTATACGAAGAAAATTCTACGCGGTACTCGTTGCAGCGCATATGGGAGCCCATCGTGGACGGGGTGGAGCCCCGATATATTCCACGGGTGTGGGCGCCACGAGGATTTCAAACAGAATCCGCTGCGACGGTTCGGCGTGTACAATCGCACAAAATCGATGCGAGTCTCCAAAACAGAACAATAATAATATACAGACGACAGTCGGTCGGTCGGGAAGTAAACAAATTGATGGCATTAGGAGCGCCGTGCACACCGCGGCGACGGCTGTTGCGGTGCCCCGCCCGGCATGATGACGGTGTATGGAAGTCGTGGCCAGCGATAATATTCGTAACGAGCGTAATTTTTCATCGCAGCCGGGTCCGATTTTCGATTGCGGGAAAACGGCACACACTTTTCCGAGCGTTTTCCCGAAGCCGAGGAAAATGTCGGGCCACCGGGATCGGCAGAACGGACTCCGTAGCCATCACGGCACTTGCACGGCACACACCCTGTCCCCATGGGTCATCCGGGACGGACAAAAAACCCAGATATTGCTGCGGGTGTGCGCGAGACGAAAAATTAAAATCGGATCCGACGATTGACTTGTACACGTATTATTATTGCATCGTGTAATATAAGTTAAATTAGAACACAATATGTCAATATCTACTATCACCGTCGGCGAAGATGAGATAATCAACGGTATTGTCCGAGTTGCGGTCGCAATAGACGAATTGCGGTCTTAATAATATTGAAGGTAAAATTAACGTCTTAATTGCGGCAGGTGTCCGGTTAACGATTAATATGGTTACACTACGTTTTTGGATTGACTTTTCTCCCTCCAGATGAAGTAGGAAATGTGTTTTTAGATTTAATCGCCTAACAACTTATAGATTCAAGAGTTACTGAATTTAGTGACTATTTAGTCGATAATTATATTGGGAATGATGCTACTTTTCCAACCACACTCTGGGCAGCTTTGAACAATGATGTTTTGAGAACGAATATTGGAAGTGAAGCGTTCAATTCTAAATTTAAAACTGAGAACCGATCGCCGCATCCCAACATATTTGAATTTTTCAAATGTGTCAAAAATAATTCAGATTGATACATATTCAAAAATCAATTCTGTAGATTTGGAAACTAATAAAAAAAGCGAGAGCATAAATCAGAAATTTACTAAAAATAAAATACGACAGTATTTGAAAAAACAAATTGACTCGCTGACATTTGTGAAATGTGTATCATACAAATATGAACCGGTTTAATATTACAAATGTAAATATATAAATATTTTAAAACATAGTAATCATATTTTTTTACCTCAACTGGGATTTTTACCTATTTTGATATTTTACCTGTTTTGATCCCGACCGCAACTAGGATTTTTTTTTTTACCTGTTATAATCTTGACCGCAACTCGGTATCAACCTAATCAACACGTATCCGATAGTCGAGGCGACGATAGATCGTGGGACCCAAAGCTGACGTCGCTCGGCATTACCGCGTCCTGTGTACCGAAGCTTGTACCGTATACCGAGCTGCAGCTGGAGTGATAACGAGTGCTGTCGACGACATTTCGTTGCGCAGGCGGGGGCACACTGGTTTATAATAACCAACAGTTACTCACCCTATCGCCCTTTTGTCCATTATTTCATTTCTTTCTATGTATTTCGACTATTATATCTTGTATACCGTCGAAGGAGCGTGCGATCAAAACTTAATTTTTCAAACGAAAATTGTTAACCAAACGAATGATTTAAAAAAAAAAAAATAGATACATCTAAATCGAATTTGAACGGTTATAGTTTCTTGTATAAGACTTTATATACATACTATAAGGATATAAGTCCTTAATAACGTCTTTACATCGGCTATAAAATATATGTAATACATTAAATATTTTAGTCTAATATCGATATACTCATTAAACCCAGACAATTAAAAAAATAAAAATAATTTATTATTAATTTGACTTTCTATAATTTAATTTTTTAACCATTGTTATTTTACATTGTAAACAAATCATCGTGAACTATTAACTTCGGTAGGTACATGAAGTTTATTAGTTAAGAAAATATACCTATTCTAATGAATTTCGATTTATATTTTTAACGTTAAAAAAAAAAATTACTCTCCTCGCCACAATTTATAGTAAAAATAAAGTAGTTCTTATTTGAAATAAATATGTTATACAAAATGCCAAATGTAAGTGTAATTGAAAATATGGTCTTTAAATAAACTTCAAAATGTCAATATTCAGAATGATTAAATGCAGTATGAATAGAAAAATGGGAGTGAGCGTGTCGGTCGAATCATTTTGTGATGGTGGATGGGGGGCTTACCGCAGATTATTATTTTCGTTGTATCGTCCGGCATTTGTGCACCGTGTACGACGTAAAAAAAAGAAAATAATTACAAAGGTTCTACGAACGAAACTATGTTTTATTATGTTGTTGTTTTGTATTTCTCGTCCTGTCCATTTGTTTCTCGAACGCGTCGATTACATCGCAACCGTAATTTCGGGATCTCATACGAATATTTTATACTTTAGAATCGACGCTATACTGTAATGCCAGCGAGACGTGCAGAAATAAGTGGCGATCGCAATCAACGGAGTTCCCATAAATTGTTCGGTATCAATGTGTAGTACACGTACACAAGTACGATATAATATTATTTATATTAAGTTGACGGGCTTAATAATAACAGGCTTGCTGCGGACTCCGTAAAAACGTCTTTTCTCCGACGGCAGCGTGTGCGCAGGCGACAATTTTTTTTCTCGCCCCCCCCCCCTCTAAATATTCCACCGGCAAGTAAGAGGCGTATAGACAATATACGGAAACGTTTATACGTTCGACTGCGCGTACACAGTAGGTATACGTATATATTATATGCGTCGTCATCGTCGTGCGATCTGCCTTGAGAATTACGAGCCGACACGTATCGTGCGCGACCTGCAGTGCGATGATATGAATTGTAATAATTGATGGATGGCACGCGACCGCGGAACCGTTGGTGGCCACAGGGGTAACGATTGACTTATTATGTTATCACACGAATTTTGCACGCCACTCTGGCGTATAACACACGGACATTGTGGACACACGGCCCGGCGGCGGCGGCACGTCGTGTCTGGGCGGACGGGTGGGCGGGAGTGCGTGGGCGGGTGAGTGATGTGGGTGAGGTGGGTAAGGGGCGTTGTGCGGCGAGGTTAGGTTAGGTTAGGGCCTGGGGGAGGACTATAGAGCGGAGTCGATAATTTTATTTCTACACCCTCGGCCCTTCCCACTCCACCGCTCGAGCTTTACTCCTCGCGAAACGCACAACCCCGTCGGCGGTCTCGTTAACTCGAGTGCGTTATCGTCGCAAGTACCTATACATTTTTATACTTATAATAGAGTATATATATGTGTGCGTGTGTGTACATACCAAAATAGTCAGACGGCGCGAGTCTGCCGACTTCGATCAGAGTCTCTCCTTCGACCCGCTGCTGCAGGACGAGCGCCGTTCCTTCGACGATTATGTAAAAATCGTCTCCTTGTTCGCCTTGTCTGACAATCGTCTCGCCGTCGTCGAACGACACGGGTTCCAGCGCATCGGCCACGGTCAGTCTCTCCCATTTGTCTAGACTCTCTGCGAACATATACCCACGCAAACAGATGTAAGACAGATGGCGAAAATAAAACCCAATATATATATATATATATATATACAGTGGACATCGGATCGAATCGAATACATTTTCTGTCAACCCACAGTATATATGAGATCAATGTAAAATAACGTCCATTCCCGTCGTTGCTTTAATCATTAAATAAACAACATTTTGAATAGACGAAAAATACGACGCGATTAAAACGAGCCGAGTAAATCGCTCAGCTGTATAGTAGTGAACGATTTTCAGAGCAGGTATAACTCGTAATTGGTCAATGAGTAGGTCACTGTCCACTGGATGCGTTAAATTTGAATCCAACGAGAAATCATTGCACGGGGAAACACGATTTCGAGTGGATGCCACTGTTGGGTATGTTTTTTTTATTCTCGAGTAATACACTATAATACGGTAGGGCGTTGAACTAGTTTTTGGCAAAAAACGTTGTACATAATATCATACATCACTGTCATTTACTGATAGGAAGATCTATCGTGACGAGCGGCATACAGTGGAACGCGCGTGTGTAAGAGATCCGCAGAAATAGCTTAAAATTAATTTTAAATACAATTTTGAAAAATTCATTGGGTACGTCGAAAACGGTAAAATGAATATCTCATGAAAATTTAAGGTTCTAAAATTTAAGGAATTATTTACACCATGAATAACAATAGTAAAAACCATTTGAGGATAAATCGTAATTTTACGTTTGATTATAAATATCTAATTTCGTCAAAATTAGAACTTGTAACGCTTATTGTATAAATGTTGTGACCAAGTGTATTTTCAATATTTTTGAATTTCTGTAAGAACAATTCATAGTAAAAACCATAAACCACAAACCATAAACAGAACCGTGTATTAAATTGTATAAGCCTTTTGACTTGAAAACAAAACGTTATTACTATTATTCTGCATAAAAAGCGAAAAAAAAATTGAAAATGTCGTCTTAACAAGTCTTTTTGAAAAACGATAAAAAAAAAACAAAGTCGACTTTGTCAATATGCCTGTTTTCCCCGTATTTTTTTTTGTTTTCCCCAATTATCTTGAAAAGTATTTGGTTTTTTCCCATAGTGATGATGACAAACTATCTAGAACAATTTTTTTTCCAAAACCAACCTTCAATATAACATTGAAGTCTGAAGAGTTTTTTTCCAGTATAAACGTGTCCATCATCGATCGCCCCCTTAAGGCAATAAAGGCAATATATATATACATATATAAAATATAGGCACACATACGTTTGGACGTATTATTATTAGAATGGTAATTAACGGGTAGGATAAATTGCTGAAACAGCCGAACGACATTTTATATGCTTTCAAAGCACCCCGTCGCATCGTGTTGATATTTATCAACGATCTACAAACAGTATCGATGTACCCACATATAGTGCATGCATTTCGCGTTAAATGCAATTTCGAACGAACAGAGTTCAATCAAACGACAGTAATAATTATGCTGCTGGTAAATAAACAGACGTTTGCTGACAGCTGTACTGCAGTTTAATGAAATAGTACTGCGACTGCACGCGAGGGGTGAGTGATTTTTTACGAGATGAACAAAAAAGTACAAATCAATAACGTTTTCCACGCGAATTGCGGTACACCAGAATATACCAGATATAATAATACGGGTTAATATGTTTTATGTATTCGTTTCCAATAGTGTTTAATTTCTGGGAAATAATTTACAAATTGCACGCAGGCTTCTCGTCGCCGGAAACTTGCCCCGAAATTCTAATTTTAATTCGCGGGTTCGATAAGAATTTCGTGAGTTGTATATTGGGAACAAAAATCCAATTCGATTGTTTTTTTTTTTATACGCGTTAACGCAAATATATTATCGCTATTCTTATATTGACGTCATTCAACACATTTTCTCACGCGCTCGAAACTTAGACCACTAACAATATAATATCGTATATTAACAATTCCTAAGAATTCGTTGCAGTATAGTTTGGACCGTGGTTTAGTTTCGTTCGACAAATCCACCTACGTTACAACCAAATGTATTTAAAAATAAAGATCACGTCCGGGACCCGTAATAAGACTAGCTAGACTTAACATCCCTTATTTTGTTTTCCCCACAGAAAACACCGGCTAAAGTTAATATAACTCTAGGGTTTATAGTTTTTACATACAACCCAAAAGTTTAATATATTTTTCTCGCCTCTCCGTTGTGCACGTATTATTGTACATTTTTACAAATGCCAATGAAGGAAACAGCGAATCAAATTGTTGTTCTTTTGGTACGTTTTTTTAAGCTCGTTATGTTAAAAAAAAAAAAAATTATTCAGTAAATTCGTTTGAAATAAAATCAAAGTCGAGAAGTAATTATTGCCGAACAATAGACGATATTTCAATTAAAATTCATTTTATAAAAATCACAGAGAAGTATAATTATAATTATACATAGCGGTAAAAGTTTAAAATTATAGAAATTTCGTTTACTTGTATTTAAAAATATTGAACACATTTTAAACTACCTGGCATAGCTGATTCGTGAACATTAATTAATTGTAAAAAAATACATTCGTTTGCAATAAAAAAGAAAAAACGTAATAATATAGTAGTCGTCCCTATATAACAGTTCAACACCGATCAATTGCACACAATTCGATATACGATAGGTATACTAACATCGAGTTTCATTATATCAAATGATATAAGTGTTTTGCTCGTGAGTGCATTATACGCAGAGGTTTTTTTGTTTATTTTGCTATTTCGAAATTTGGAACGTTTTCAATAAGTACGGTAACTTCTTCGGCGGAGTGTACAAAATATAACAAAAACTAAATATACGCATAAACGCCAACTGACCTAATATCGAACTAGGTAAATTATTATTATTATTATTATTATTATTGGTGTATTTGATTGGTATATAGAAAACCGTAATTGATGTTATTATTGTGCTAAATAAATCAATATCGAGGGTTTCGACTCACACGACAGAGCATTAACGACCATTAATTATTATAAACTAGATTTATGTATGATAATTGTATATTTCAAATTTTCCCTCAAGGATCTTTCATAGATTTCCGAACCAGATATTGAGTTTAATTTTTAATACCAAAGCGTTTCGGTCAGAACATGCTTAAAAAACTCAAAAACGTACTAAAACGATGTATAATGTATAATGTATAATGTATTTTTTTTTTTAAATTTTAAACTGACGAGAGTAATCACCTATATTAATAGCATATAATATAAGACAAGAATACAAAATGCTATTTTATATTTATTATATTATTTCACATAACTTTCACCGTCAAAGAGTACTGTATTACGATACCGATTAGATTAATAGTACGAAAAAAAAAATAATAACTTTTAAAGCCACATGTATACACACATACTGCGTGCATATTGTACGACGCACAAATAAAATAACACAATTTAAAACGAATTAATTATGCAGTATTATTGTGATGAAATGATATTGATTACCAAAGTTTTAATACTACTAACATTACAATATTATTTATGTATTAATATCTGATATAAAATATAAGACCATCCATTAGATATAGGTGTTGTGTTTTATTAATTAGGTAATTTAATATTAAATTTGAGCGTCAAATAATACGCAAAAACGATTAATCAACCTTATCTTTGTATAAGCACAGCGTACTGCCTTCAATATACAAAGTCGTGCAAGTGTGAACGACAAGTATAGGTATAACGTAAAAAAATTAGTTTATTTTTTTCACTTCAGAATTTCAAAACCTAATTGTTTGATAGCAAATTCTTACCAAGGTGTTCGTAATAATATTAATAATTTTACGCGAAAGTGCGGTACACGACGAGTGTTCAGGGTTTGTTTTCACGTAGGTTATATAATATATAGGTTCTTACAATTTTTCATCATCATATATTATTATCATTAATCATGTAAGGTGTTTTCTAAAAACATGATAATGTGCAAACGACACCACATTGTTCTGCGGCGGCGGCGTTAAAATAATTATTTTCATTGTATACACTAGGTTTTGTTGTTTTTGCCTCCCACGAACGAAAACAATATCCAAAAGACAAGCCTATGGATCCGTTTTTAATTTTTATTTTCCTATGGTAAGCCCTTATAATAATTATGGTCTTTCTTTCGTTTTATTCGTCGTCGTCACCATTAGCCCTTAACAAAGATGAATGAATCTATTTCTTAAACGAAGAGCGTACGCGGGGGGGGGGGCGGTACTCTTTAATTATATACTATCCACCCTCACTTGGCTGCTGTGCAAACGAAAGCTAAATTTCTCCCCGGCATTAACGAGGGTCAAATGTACAGTTGATATTAATCAATAGAAAGCGAACAAATCTGGATCAAGGTTTAAACTAGCCATGTGGTAATTAGCTTGACATTTAAAATCTAAAAAAATAAAAATAAAAAAACTACAACAGCCTTTAGCAGTATCATTTTCATTATTTTATCGTTAACTGTTGGCATTTCAAAAAATCGTCAACTTTAATGGCATTTTGTTAGGCATATAGTTATTCGGTCAAGTTGCATGAGTACCTAAGTTCCATGCTTTATTTAATCATTGCGGCAGATAAGTTCTAGTTTTTTTCTTTACAGTCTTTAAGTTCACAGTAAAAATCAAATTTAAAGTTGTACGATAATAACATAATATATGTAACGAAAGCGTTTTGTTTTTTTTTACAATTTGAATAAATAATATTTTTAAGTTTAAATAGTTCTAAAAAGTAAATAAAACACACATTTTTACTAACGTTTTATAATAAAATAAAAATAAAATAAAAGTGCAATTTTATTATGTATTAATATTTGGCAAGAATTTCTTCAAAGTTTTTTTATTATTTAAAATTGGAGTTAAGACTATTAAAACTAGAAATAAAATGTTTATTTTTGCACTTCAACAATTTTTAAAAATGTTTAGTTTCTAATCAACTATAATTTTAGAAATATATTATATATAATTTATGGAAACCTTTTAAATGATCCTTAGATGAAATTT